TGGCAGGGCTCCGCGCCAGCCGGGGCAGGCCCTCGGAGACTGCGCCGACGCGGTGGGAACGGGGGTTCACAGGGTGGTGGCTCACGACGATGAGCTCGATGACGTTCCGCGCGAGCTCGATGACGAGCCCGAGGAGCTCGACGATGAGCTCGACGATGAGCTCGACGAAGAGCCGAGCTCGGCAGCGGTTTCCGAGTCCATGGCGGCGAGCGCACTGCTCTTCCGTGGCTTGCGGATAATAAGATCCTCATCGCGCAGTTTGCTCTTTCCCTTGCCCTTTCCCTTCCCCTTGCGCTTGCCGCGGCCGCGGGCGGCGGCTCCCACCGGCAGCAGCGCCGCCGGGTCTGTCCCTTTGCCCTTGCCCTTGCGCTTGCGCTGCTCGCGACGGAGGCTTGCCCGGGACTCGGCCTTGGCCTTTGACTTTGACGGATCAACGGCAATGGCGGTCGCCGAGCCGGCAGCAATGGCCGGATCGGTAGCGCCCGGCAAGCGCCAACCATGCTTGTTCAGCTCCTTGCGAATCTTGCGCTGCTTGCGAGTCATGCAGCAAGTGGCGCATGTGTAGCCAAAGCGGTCCTCAAACGTCTCGATCGACGGCTTGTCCAGCAAGTCCTCATCGACGTCGGCTCGAGGATTCCGTCTCCGCGCCGCCCGAGCCCTCCTGCGCTCTGACAGCATCACCCGCCTTGCCCGCAGTCGCCGCTTTCGCTCCTTGGCCTCGGCCTCGCGCACCTTTTCTAGCTCGAGGTAATACTCGGGCTCTGCGGGGGTGTAGCCATGTACCACTGCCGGCAGCTCCTCCAAGGGAATCTCCGTCACAGGCCGTACGTCCTTCTTTCCCATTACGTCAGTCAAGTGCCAGCCTAAGGTCCGTGGCCGAGCCAGACACCGCTCCACCCCCCCTCCCCAGGCTGGCTGCCTCGTCGTGCCCCCGCCGCCGCCTCTCAACAATGAGCCGTTTCCGACGGAGGCCCTAGGCGGCCCAATACACACACACTCGCGCGCGCACACACACACATAGCTACGGAGGGATCAACTGTCATGATAGATCTAATTGTGTATGGGGGAGTGGGCATGCGTGTGGGGGTGGGCGATGGTGACATGATGTCAAGGGAGGGGGGTGTGTAGAAGGGGCTTGCGCTTGCCAAGGGAGACGCGTTCGACGATGCAGATGCAGATGCAGATGCAGAAGATCATCTAGCTAGCTACTCACAGGCCAATAGCTTTCCTCGCCCCCTCATCCTCCTGCACATCCCAACAGAAATACACCTCGCCGAGTTATCGATCAAGTTACAAGCAACAGACTGACCCACTATCGCCCGCCTTGCGGTTGCGTCGGTCAGTCGGTTGCGTCGGTCGGTCGGTTTGTTGCGTCGGTCGGTTTGTTGCGTCGGTCGGTTTGTTGTGTCGGTCGGGTCAGCCCGGGGCGGCTGCTGTTCCCAACCACGACAGCCAGGAAGAAGAGCAGGGCCACCAAGTGTAGTAGAAGGTCACACCCAACTCATGTATGTACCACCCGTAGCAACATCCAGTCCTCCACTACTTTATTTCCTCTTCCCACCACGTACTCCTCGTTCGCTGCACCGTTGCCCTTCTCTGCCGGGTGCGGGTGGGGAGGGTGGGGAGGTGGAGGGCTGTGGTGGGCGACCGTCTGCGCCCAATTTTTGTGTCGCACCGCAGGGGGGGGGGCAGGAAGGGGGGGGGGGGGGGAGTGGAACGAAGAGGGGAGGGGAGGGAGGAGGGGGGGGGGAGGTATTTGGGTAGAGTGATGGTGTGTGTAGGGGTGGTGCGTGTGTGTGGAGGAGGGAAGGGGTTGTGGGAGGTGTTGGAGGCGGAGGAAGAACAGCAGCGGTGGCCATGGATGGGCGCGGCATGGGACTTACGGCTGACGGTGCGGGTCGGGCATGGGTGATTGGGGACGATGGGACGATGGGACGATGGGACGATGGGATGATGGGACGGCGGGAGGGGGGCGATAGACCTGATCAATAATGGCTTCTCTGATGCGCATGGCTGTTGCTCCGTCGATGTGGGCTGCCGCCCCGGCGGTCCGCGTGGCTGCCCTCGCTGTCCGCGGCTACGCCGCCGAGGCTGGCCAGGCCAAGGCTGATGCGCCGGTGGTCAAGGTCGACATTGCCAACTGCCACGACTCGCTCGAGTGGGTTGTGCCCTCGCCGCCCAACTTCCACACCTTTGATGAGCTTCCGTTCATCAAGGAGTCGGAGAACGAGTAGATGCAGCCGCCTTGTTTGAGCACAAACACACACCACCCACACATAGCCTTGTTTACATGCCTTGCGCCTGTTCGTAGCCGACATAGTCGCGCAGCAGAGCAAGTTGGCTTAGATAGTGTCAAACATCTCCGAGTTGCGGACGAGCGAGGTGACGATTGAGTTGCGTGGCTTGGCTGCCGAAGCTGGGATGAGGCGCGGACCCGAGGTGCGGCGCGGGGGTGTGCCAGAGCCGGGACCTTGGGGCTGGGGCAGGCCTGGGATGGGGGCGCCGTCGAGGCCGACGGCTGAGGAACGACACGAGCGCGAGAGTGCGCGCTGAAACGAGGGCGAGCCACGCGACTTCTCGCGGACGAGCGCCCGCGACGAGCGGAGCTCCTTGCGGAAGACGTTGGACGGGAGCTTACGGTTGAGCCAGATCTCACCGCGGATACCTTTCTGCAGGAGCGAGAAGAACTCGTCAAGCTCGACGTCCTCCACAAGCGTGCCGTCCTCGATCTTGCCGTGAAAGGTGCGCGTCATCGATGACGCCAGTTCGGGGTCGATGATCCGCGAGACGGCGATTTTCTTGCCGCTCACGAGCTTGGCCCGCGCGTGCGAGAGGAGCGTGGCCACGAGCTTGGACGCCCGACGCATGTCATTCATCGACGCGTCGACCATGGTTCCGCCGCGCCCGTTCGCCGCCATGGCTTCAACCGAGACCGATTGCATCTTGCGCTTCCATTTTTGGACGGTCGAGAAGATCTGGGTGTCGGTCGCCGCGTCGACATCGAGCCTGCTGGCCGACCTTGTCCGCGAGAGGGCGCGGCCCGACGGCGCAAGTTGCGCTTTGCCAGGCGCGTGGTATGTTTGCATCATGGTCTGGGCCACCTCGGGGAACTTGTAGTCGGAGAGTGAGTCTGGGTAGCCGAGGACGGCCGAGAGCCGCGGCTCGCCACGCTTCCGCTGATACCGCTTCGAGATGTTGGATGCTTGCTCGATGCGGGCCTTGGCCAGGCGAACAATGACTGCCACCGACTCGACAATGTCCTCCAGCTCCGAGTCATCCAGCACGCCGTCAAGCTCAAGGTCCGAGTCCGAGTCCTTGTCGAGCGCCGAGCCTGAGATCGAGGTCCGCGTTCCAGACATCTGCGTCACCGGCACTTCGCTGGTTTTGGCGTCAACATCAGCACTGTTCCTTGCCCGGATGGCCTCAGCCTCGGCCTGGAATGCTGCCAGCGAGTCGGACCGTCCACCGTCCTTGGCTGCCACCGCAGCCTGCACCGCAGCGAGCGTCGCCTCCAGTGACGCAAACCCGCCGCGCGGGACGGCGCTGCCGTCTTCCGAGTCGTCACTCGAGCCCGAAGACGAGTCTGAGTCTGAGTCATCGTCCGAGTCGTCATCCGACTCGCCGTCGCCGTCGCGCTCCTTCTCCTTGCCCTTGCTCTTCTCCTTCTCCCTGCCATTGTCCGGCTTCACCACCACCAGGCGTGGCGACGGAGACCGCGAGAGACTACCAGAGCCGCCGGACAGTTGCTTCCGCGACGGCAGTGTGAGCGTGGTCGACATGCGCCGGTTCTGCGGCGCGAGGTAGTCGGCGAGACTGATACTATCACGCCCACCGTCACCAGCCTTGATCGTCCGACGGATGATCATAATTCGCTTGATGACCCGGAGGAGGAACTCGGTCTTACTCAACGGCGAGTCGGCCGGCCGCAGCCGCTGGATGTCGAGGAAGAGCGAGTAGGTGAGACCAACAAGCGTCGGCTCGACGTCGGCCTCCTCGTCGAGAAGCGAGCCCATGACCGATGCCGACAGCGACGCCGCCGAGCCGGTTGAGTTTTCGACGCCGAGCGTCTGCCGCGAGCTCGGCCTGACCATGACCTGCTCGTTGACTTCAGGCAGTGACTCGAGGAGTGAAATCGACGCCGAGAGCGAGTTGCGCAGCTCGACCGACGACCGCCGCCCACCTGGTTTGGTCGGCGCCAAGCTGTCGCCGTTGCGCAGAATCGGACCCGAGTTCTTGCGAACAAACTGGCTTTGCGAGCCGCGGGTGATGCCGCTCGGCGACTTGCTTGTCACCTTGGCCGTCATGATGCGGACCGAGCCCGAGAGCATTACGTCCGACGTCGACGAGACCGGCGAGCGGACCGAGGCGTTTGACTCGTATATGTTGCCAGTCTTGCGTGGCGAAAGAGTCATCTCGCTCGAACCTGTGGCTTGGAGCTTGGTCTCTGAGCCCTGTGACAGCCGCTTCTGCGCCAGCAACCTGCCAGGGCCCTGCTCCTCGGCCACCGCGCCCGGCTTGGCCTCTGTCCGCGACGCCGCCGACGCCAGACCGTCTGCAGCCTTGGCTCCGCCATCAGCGTCTGCGCCTGACGCTGTCCGCGGGCGTCCCGAGCTTGCGCTGCTTGGCATCTTTCGCCCTCCGGCTGGCGAGTCCTCTCGACCCGCTGGAGCCTGCGCTTGCGACGCAGCCTGCGACTGCGCCTGCGCCTGCGCCAGCTCGCTCGTCTGCGCCAGCCCGCTCGTCTTACCACCGGCATCATCAACGTCGATCCCTTGCTCTCGCGAACGAGCCGCCGACGAAGTAGCGCGTGTGGCGTCGGCCGGATCCTTGGTCGGTCTCGCTGTTTGGCTGATGTCGTTGTTGTTCTCACGGGCGGGCGTGGCGGCCGGGGGCTGTTGTGACGGCTGTTGCGAACGGGGTTGAACAGGGTCATTCCTTGCTGGCGAGACATGATTACGGGCTTGCTCTCCATGCTCTGCGCCAGGTTGTGTGCGGTCTCCCTGGCTGTGTGGCCTGACCGGAGGCTCTGCCGCCGGAGCCACCCGTGTCGACTTTGACGAGCCACAACCCATGGTAAAGGAGGCCCGTAACGGTACGAGCAAGCAGTGCTTGGGTGCAGCAGGAGTTGGCCGACGACAGAGAGACGGCGGAACAACGCTTGTGTCTCACGTGAGTGACGTCTACTCTTCGCTAGCCCCGCTCCGCCCTCCACTTCTTGCCGTTCTACATATTGCTCCCCGTTTCGCTCGCCAACCTGCTCGACCGTTGCCCCCTCTCTGTCTGTCCAACACATACTCGCCCCTCCCACCCCCACTCCCACGCCCCATGTCGTCATCCATGCCGATGGCAATACTTGTGCCATAACGATGGGATCGTTGGCTATGTGGCAGTCATCCTCTTGATGCCCGCCTTGGTCTGTGTGGTCTGCCCCGGAACTGCTAGCTAACTGGTGCAAGGCGCACCGGGCCGAGTGCCGGCGGGTGATTGGTGGGCCGCGCGTGCGGGAAAGTTGGTCGTGGAAAAATTGTTCTCGCCGGAGAGTAGGGTTTTCCGCTTTTTACACCGTGATACCCCACCTCTTCCCTTCCACCCCCACGGCTGTATGTGAAAGGTAGCATGTATGTATGTGTGTGTGTGTGTGTGTGTGTGTGTGTGTGTGTGTGTGTGTGTGTGTGTGTGTGTGTGTGTGTGCGTGTATCTATGTGTGTGTGTGTGTGTGTGTGTGTGTCCTGCGAAGGACCCGTTGAGCACGTGTCTCTGGCTCTTCTCTCGCCCTCCCACAGTCATCTCCATTTCGATGTGAATGTCGATGTCATACACAAGCACCACGCCACAGCGTACGCGCTACACGCCACAAACGAGCGGATACACTCCACGAACGAGCGGCAACCGGTACCGCCGGCACCCCACGTCAGGGTCGAGCAGCGGTCGGCTCGGCAACAGCTATCGCACGCCGAGTCGCCTGTCGTCGGCCGGGTCGTTCCACGCAGCGACGGCGAGCCTGCCAGCAGCCACGGGAGGCTTGTGCACGCCGTCTGTGCGGCAGCGGCGGACAGTGCGGTCTGCACGGCCTGCGCGGTCTGCGCGGCAGCCTTTGCACCACCTGCGGGTGCCGTCGTATGACTTGGGCGGAGGCGACAGCGCCGGGCTAGCGGTTCTTGGCCAGCGGGCCGGGCGGCGGAATGTTCACGAAGATTCGGGCGAAGCCGATGACCACCGGCCGACGGCGGCGGCGATTGTGCGCGCACCTGCTGGCGAGCAGGCGCAGTTTGGAGACGTTGTGGAGGCGTCGCGGGCGCCGGCGGTGCAGCGGCCAGATGTCGGCGTGGACGTTACGCGCGGACGCAGTCGGCAGGGGCGGCGGGCGGCGGACCCGTGGGAGATGCCGTCGAGCTCACTGGTGCCGTGGTCCGGGGGAAGCTCGCCGTTTGCGGCGATGGAGGTGATGATGAGCAACATGATGCGGGCGTTCGGGTCTATGGGTGTGGGCGAGGAGCTGGCACCGGCGCTCGGCGGCGGCGGCGGCGGCTTCTCGTATTGCTCGTCGTCGGTGTACGTGTCGGGCGGCAGCGATCCGAGCAAGGCGTACTACGAGACGCGGAGCGTGGCACGCGGGCCCGGGTACGAGCAGAGCGCGCGCGCGGTTCACGATCCGCAGACCGGGACGGCGCAGGGCGTGCGGCGACGGATGGGCGAAACTGGATACGAGGTCATCCGGTCGGCCGATCTTGCCGGCAACGTCGAGACGCAGCAAAACTACGTCAACATGACGGCCGACGAACTGGATGCGTTCGAGTCGCGGTGGGCGGCGAGTGCGCATGCCCACGCGTCGCGCTACATGCTCCCGTCGAGCGCCAGCGGCTCGCAGCGGGCGTAGATGCGCTGCGCGCGCCACAGAGCTTTACTCCAACTTCTCGGGCGGTAAACACGATTTTGGCTACTCGACGTCGTGGACGTTGTAGGTGTAGAGGGCGTCGAGCTCAATCCAGATGATCTGCGGCGGGTCTGGGTAGGGATGGGTGTGGAGGATGGCTGAGAACTGGCTGCCGACGCGGCCAAAGACGTTGACGAGCGCATGGTCGTAGTAGGCCCAGATGAGATCGGTGTACTCGTCGAGGAAGGTCGGGACGGGAAGGAGCGGATCAAAGAGAGAAATGTATTCGATGGCAATGGATGAGGCGTTGACGACGCCGACCGACTCACCAGGCATACCGATCATGCTCGACTTGCCGCCGTTGCCGTTGAAGACCAGGCACGGGATCGAGCTCGCAGCATGCGGCTGCCCAGCATCACCGACTTGAACCACCGTAAGCCCATCGGCAGCCATCTCCACAAACGCGCCTGTCCGACTCGCCCGAAACGTCATGGTCGCCGTCTTGGCGTCGACCCGCGGTCCGCAGAGCATGATACCGGGGAACCGATGCGGCTGCGCACCACGCGCACCACGCGCTGTAACGGCACATGCCACGAGCACAGCCACCAGCACAAGTCGAAAGAGAGAGTTTGTCATGTGGAAGGTTGAGCGAGTGCAGTACCGGTGTGTGTGTGGGGGGGAGGAGGGGGGTGGGGGGCTGGGGGAGCATGTGCGATTGGGCGGCGATGAGAGGGGGCGATCTATCATGCGGGGATGAGTATGGGCATGGGCGTGGTATGTTGTGCGCGGAAGTACAGTGTATGTATGTATGTATGTATGTATGTATGTATGTATGTATGTATGCATGCATGCATGTGTGTGTGTGTGTGTGTGTGTGTGTGGCATCGGTGCAGGTGGATCGGATGCCAAGCCGTCGCAGCCAGCGGCCATACGTAGTGCTCTCTTTGTGGACTAAGGGCATGGGTAGGTAGGTGGACGGGATGGCGTGCTTTGGGAGGACGACATGATGTTATACATAACCCGCCATGATGCCTTGATCTGCCTGATCAGCAAGACTAGCCCCAATCTGTCCGTGTAGACCATCTGACGGTGAATGGCGTGTGGCTGACCGAGCCCGTGGCCAGCGCCGTTGCGGGTACGGCTGTGGCCGCAGCTGTGGGTACGGCTGTGGGCGCAGCTGTGGGTACGGCTGTTGGCGACCTCATCCCCCCCCCCCCCCCCCTCCTGGCGACACCCGACTCGACGACTCTCAAGCATGGCGGCGGACCTACTGGAAGAGTGCTTGGAGATGCAGCAGGACGAGGTGGAGGCTCTGGAGGCTATTTACAGCGAGGCCTTTGCCTGCATCTCCACTGAGCCGTATGTGGTCCAGGTCACGGTCCAGCCGCCTCGTTTGTCGGACGATGACGACGGCGACAACGAGGGAAGCGGGGACGGGCAGGATGAAGCCGACGACGATGGCAAGGCTGGCTACCGGCCGATTGTTCTCGAGTTTACCTTTGTGCCAGAGTACCCGCTCGAGGCTGGGGTTGTAGCCTCGGTCGACGTCTTTGCCAACGAAGGCATTCTGTCGGACGAGGCGCGGGAGGCGCTCGGCGAGCTGATGGAGGCAACGGCGGCCGAGGCTGACGGCGCCGCGGCGGTGTACGATGTTGTCGAGGCTGTGCGCGAGGCCTTTCGTGACCTCATTCCGCCAGTTGACCCCAGTGTTGGCCGTGACACCGGCGGCGGATCCGACGGTGAGCCTGATGGCGGCGACGACGGCGCGAGCGCTTGCAAGCGCGGCTCGAACAAGACCGCCAAGATGACCAAGAAGGAGAAGAAGCGAGCGCTCAAGGGCATGGACTTTATTGCCGGCGAGCGTCCGCGCGGCCACGACTGGGTTGACATTATTAGCCATCTGGCGCGGACCTGACAGCGTTCACGAGCTCGACGTCGAAGAGTACGAGTACTCGCCACCGTAGTCCGAGTACGACGACGAGCGCGACGAGCGCGACGAGTGTGAGGTCGACGAGGTCGAGAGCTCGGGCGCAGAGGCGAGTGCCTGCGGCGTTACAGCTCTGGAATCTCGTTTGGAGCGGTCGCGCGCCTTTTTGCCGTCGGCGGCCTCGTAGTCGACGACCCGGAGGCGCGGAACGCCTTCGGCGGCCGGATCGTGGCCGATGGCGTACATGTTCTTGTCGTACTCGGTCTTCTGCCACATCCACTCGGGCGTGTTGTCAAAATCGGCGTGGACTTGCTTGCGGCCAGACTTGCCGAGCAGGCCGTCGCTTCCGGGCCCAGCCTCGTGCTCGCCGCGGGCGCGGGCGCGGGCGCGGGCCTGCATCCGGCGGCGGCGGCGCCAGCGAATGTATGTCGTCCGGCCCATAACAAAGGCCATTACGCCCACAAAAACCAACGCTACGACAATGAGGAACCAGATCCACGCAGCGGCGGCGGCGTTGGCTGACGGGCTCGACCGCGGCGACGACGCCAGCTCCTCAGGCCGGCACCCTCCATACGAGGCGACCGCAGACCGCGAGGTGCACGCCGCAGTCACATATGCGGCCGCCGCCACGTAGTCGGAGCCGGCAGCGGCGCTCGGTCCGGGCACCACCACTACCGCGGCCAGATTGGCAGTGCCGGCCGCGAGCGTCACCGGGACCGAGTATTGGCACGACACTGGCCGTGAGGCGCACGCCGGGCTCACCACGACCCGAGTAAAGTTGCCGGCAACATCTGCGAGCTCACTACCTGTGTTTGCCGCCCGCCACAGCGCGAGCATGTCGCCGCCAGGAGTTCCGCGCGCCGCAGCTTGCGCGAGCGTCAGCGGGCCGCCGGTTATCAGATGAGTGGCATAGAGTGGGCCGTAGAAGACCCAGTACTCGGCAACCGCGGCCTCGTTGGGCGATGGCGCAAACCGGAGCGAGGCAGCAAGCTCAGTACCAAACGCCGCGCCCGAGTCGGCCACTCCGTCAGCAAGCGCAAGATCGAGGCTACGGCCTAGGCCCGGGCGCGGACCCACGCCAGACACCGCCAGTAGGGCGACCTTGACATCAGCATCAGGCTGCGAGCCGTCAACCACTCTTGTCTCCAGCACTAAATACGCAGTAGGTGGCGATGGAGCGCCTGCGACCGTATCCCCGCACACGACAGCAGCCGTGCCGGAACCCGATCCAGCCGCAGCAGCGGCATAGCCATCCTCAGGAAGCGAGTTGGGCGACCAGTACAAAGCCATGTGGGCATGATGAGGAGAGAGATCAACCATAGCCGAGACGCAAAACCAAGTGTGAGCCGCAGTATAGCTCAGCCGAAACCGTCGAGGACTCTGTGGCGAGATAGAGTGCTCCACTTCCATGCCAACCGAGAGGACGAACTCGCTCTGGTTGCCAGCGCACCAGCCAGCCAGGCAAAGGACGACGGCAAGGACGAGGGCCATCCCCGAGGTGAGTGCCGTAGCAGACGGCATGGTCCCCCCAAGCACCAAATGTGGTGGGTGAGTGAGTGGCGACAGGTGTGGGGGCGTGTGTGCGTGTGTGTGGGGCGGGCGGGTGCTGGTGGCTGGTGCGTGTGTGTGTGTGTGACATGGGTGTGTTCCCAGCTCAGGAGAGGAGAGGGGGGGGGGGGAGGGGGAGGAAGGGATGCGATGAGCTGAGCTGCTGGGCATATGGTACGATGGTATGATCCGGAACAAGGTCTTGAATGTCTGTGTAATCTGCACATTGTCTGCCATCTGATGGTGTTTGGCAGTCGTAACATGGTCCGTAGCCTCTGGTTACCCTCACCTG